ACACACACACACACACTGGTATATATATGCTGTTAGCACCAAAGCTACACAAATAATTTTTTTATTGGATTGATAGTTGGACACCCCATGACCTAAAAAGTAAAAAGCAGGTAAAGATAATGGCTGGATGAATTTATGTATAAAAGCTGAGTGACACAAGGGACAAATCAACCCAATTGATTTAACTGAAAGGATGGAAAAAAATAAAAACATGTTAAAAAAAAAACACGTCTATGAGACGAGTAGAATTGGTCAGAACTGATCTTTATAGTTTAGTAAAAAAATGAACAAATTAAGTGTAAAAATTAGGCACAACTTAGATGCTACATTAATGTAGTTTAACTCGCATTGTGGTTACTTGGTTCAAACCTCCTCAAACGAAGCACTGGTACAAACTGTTACACCACTTGGTTCAAACCACTGGTTCAACGTCAACAGTTTGTTTCTACAGGGATGCGTGTGGCTTGCAGTGCATTGGATATGTTGCACGAAACATAGTTTCCTGGTGTTTTGTCACAATGAAAAACCTCTAAATCAAAAACTAATAATATCATTTGTTTTGTTGCCCCCCACCCCCCCACCCGCTCTGCATCCAACTAATGAAAAGCTCACAGTCAGCACAGCTCATTATCATGATTATAACCCTTAGCTTACTTGTGTCGAGGCAAAATCTGGAATAATAAGCAGGCTCTATGCAAATGCAGTCTTTTGATTTATAATGTATGGCACCCAAGGGGGATGGGGGCATTGCTCAGGTGTGTCACCGCTCTGATTACTGATTCATAACACTACTGCTAGAACACACACATGCACACACACATTGCCAAACAACCACACAGTAGCAGAAGGTGGGGGAATTGAGGAGACAATCAAATACATCTGTCCTGCCCACCCCCCTCTCCCTTTCCCTCCACCTCGGTGGAAATTGAGCACTTCAGTGAGGACTATTGATTGGAGACACAAGAGGTTGGTGGCAGGCAGCAGATGAGGCCAGACCGCACGGGGCTGCCTGCGGTGTCAGGGCCGCGACTGTGCCGGGGATGAGAGGAGGGGGGGCCCTGGGGACGTGAGCTGGGGTGGGTGGTGTGAACAGTGCGATGTGTTAATCTCACAGAAAATATGCAGCTACTTGCAGACTTGGTTGGTGTCTGCTCTCTGTCCTGAACAGATGGAGCATCAGTAACCACCAGCTAAAGGGATAGTTCTGATGTTTTGAATGGGTCTATGTGGAAAGATGATGAACAGATAATGTTTTACCTGTTGTAGATAACTTGAAGTTTCAGTTTAATTCTGACCAGATTAATGAGCTAAAGCAACGTGGATCGCTGCCGTCTTAAAACAACTCCCACCTCAAATAGTTAATTAATGGCGTTTCTCATGCGCTACATTTCATGAGACAGTTTTATCCAGGATGGCTACCACAACCACATTTTTTGCAAACCGTAATAAGATATGGAGCATGGGGCAGTACGGTGGCGCAGCTGGTAGAGCTGCCACCTCTCAGTGAGAAGGTCGCTGGATTGAATCCCGGCTAGGGCCCTTTCTGGATGGAGTTTGCATGTTCTCTCCGTGCATGTGTGGCTTTTCTCCAGGTACTCTGCTTTCCTCCCACAGACTAAAAACATGCATGTTAGGCTGATTGGTGAGTCTAAATTATTAGAGAGTGAATGGCTGTTTGTCTTGTTTGTCTCTATGTGTCCCTGTGATGGACTGGAGACTTGTCCAGGGTGTCCCCTGCCTCTCGCACAGTGACTGCTGGATATGGGCACCAGTGACCCGAAAAGCAAGAAGTGGGTAAAGATAATGGATGCACGGTATGGGGTATGTGTTGCGGATGACTCACAGCCACTCCCATATAAAATTTGCTTCACTCTCAGCTATTTTAAATACAATATAGCCATTTTTGTGTTGAAAAATGTATATTAGCAGTGGCGGCCATCTTGAAATGTGTCGACTCCAAATGCCAGTGAGCTATAGATGGACATCTAGTTACTTTCTGAAAGTTTCATCCAAATCTGTCCAAGGGTGTGTCAGATAATTTGTTACAGTGTTGACTGCAACCGTTCTGGACATATTTTTATGTAAGGATGTGCAACAATCTGATCGTGTTAAGAATAACTCTCAATTTTTGCCACTCATTTTTAGATCAATATTTGTAAAAAACGGCAAACTTATAGCCTTAGGTCAGTTGACTGTGGCAACCATCTTGAATTGTGTGGACTCCTAAATTTAATCTTTTTCATTTTTATGTTTAGGGCTTGGAATGTTGCCTGACAAAGGCTAAACCTCAAAGTGGCGCTTGCCAGTCCGATACTTCTCACAAAATTTCAGAAACGCACACACAAACACTAGCTTAAGAACATTAACGCTGATGGTCAACGCGTCAGAATTCAACTCTTCAAACTGAAGTCGATCAAAAGGTTTCCCACAACTACAGAACTTCACTTTGAAGTGTTTAAGCTGTTGCTTTAAATAACAAAAATATATGAAAAATGGACTCGTAGATTGCACAATCACAATAAAGGCAATCCAAAAAAGTTCAATCTGGTCCTCTGGACATTCAAAAAAGCAAAAAACAAAACAAAGCAAAAAAATCTAGAAACGTTTCGTCTCTCATCCAAGAGACTTCCTCAGTCTGAGGTGCTGTTTTCAGCTCAGTCTCTTAAATTTGTCCAGAGGACCAGATTTAACTTTTTTGGATTTTTCTACCTGGATTATTGAGCATGCATCAGGATACAATAAAGGCAACTTTTTAGGTTAACTTGGCCTGACTGGGGCTTGTGTTTGTGTGTGTTCTCTGCTGCATCGCAGCCTCCGACAGTAGTGAAGGTATGTGTGCAGACAGGTCCTACATCATCTTAAGTAGCTCTTTAGGTGGTGACAGAGATTAATGATGGCCAGGCAAACAGTCCAGCTGGGGGACCTTTGAGCGCACGGACAAACCACACACACAAACACACAGAATGGCTCAAATTGGAAGGAGGTGGGGACAGTCCCTATGGATGCACAGGGACATCAGCTGAGAGAAGATGTAACCTGGGGAAAATTAGACAAAAGTTAAAGGAAAAGGGGAGTTAAATTCCAAAACCCAGCAGATTTAACAGTGAGGACGTAAAGGAGAAGACAAAATGTGTGTGTGTCTGAACATTTAGCATCTGGCACAACACACGGCTGCAGACTGACTGGTTCTTGCATTTTTTTTTTTAATACTTCCAAGTGAATAGCAAGGCTAAAAGATGGGTTAAATGAAAAACAACATTAATGTTTTATCATTCAATCTTGCTCCAGAACTGAAGGCAGCTCGAGCTCGTTGCAGGAGCAGATGAGGCCGTGACATAAATGTGAAAGGCAGAGTGTCAGAAGAGGAAGGTCAGTGCAGGAGGTTTTATGCCAGGAGGGAGCCAGAAAGCATAAAAAGAATATTCTCTCATCAAAGTGTTCTGGGATTATCTTAATGTATTAGTCATAGTCTCAGGCTGTGTCTTTGTAAAGATTGTGTTTATAGACGGAGTACAGAGTAAAACCCGATGCTCTTCTTTATTTGCATTTTAATTTTAACCCCTTGTTGAAGGTAAAGGTGGAGCAATAACGGTTTTGCCTGTGCTTGTGTGTTTGTTTGTACCGTTAGCAAAATATTTCATGAACCACTGAATGGATTTCAAGGGAAGTTCCAGAAAGTAATCACTGAATAGACATAATGATAAACTTTTGAAGCCAAGCCAATTCAAGATGGCTGCCACAAAATGGCTTTAACTCAGCTAGTTTCACAAATATTGAGCTTAAATGTGGTGTGTTTGTGTGTGTTCTCTGCTGCATCGCAGCCTCCAACAGTAGTGAAGTATATATATATAAAGGCGTTTTAAACCCTTCCCACATTCTTGCCATATTCTAAACAATGTTTCTAAACTCTAAACTCTCTAAAAGAGCAAAGAATGTCATGATTTCAGCTCCCTGCCACCTGCAAGCACTCGTGGCCACGCCCACTTCTTCGTTCTGCACGATGAACAGCTGATCAGCTGCAGCAGGAAGTTTATCCTGCAGTGTGGGCTCCACAAATGTGCAGCAGGTGTTAAATAATTTAAAATAGTTTATTTTAAATAAAAATTCCATGATTGAAAAATTGCGATAGAGCGAGTCCGCGATAAACGAACCGCGAAGTAGCGAGGGACTACTGTAACTCCATGAATTGAACAGATATTAAGCCACATTGTGGTGTGGTAGTAGCTGACAGTCATCCCCAACTCTAACCTCTTATAGATTGTGGGAAATATCACAATATGACCTATTATTTAATTTAATTATTTAATTTTAAAGGTTCCACTAAAACAGCTATAACTCTGTCATGTCTCAGCAACATCTTAGTCTAAACTTGGGTATGAAAGGCTGCAGGTGAAATGAAATACTTAAAGAATGATAGGATTTTAATTTTATACTAGTTTCGGTACGTTGCTGGCTGTTTGTGTTTCCTGTTTCTTTTGCGTTTCACTCTCCTCTCAGTGCTTCTTAACTCTCCTTGAGGCTGAAGCAGACACACACACAAAACACATTAAACAGCGCTCGCTCTCAATTTAGACCCGGACAATTCATCTTGCGATTTTAACCTGCAAGCCGTCCACCAGAGGAGGCTTGATGGCCAGATAGCGATCTTTAAGAAGCTGTTTGCAATCACAAAGAGGAGGGTGTAATCATGTGCGCGCTGGCTGAGTGGATCAATCCGGCGCCTGCTTTTTCATGCCACTGAATCCACATTGATCTTACACACGTTCTGCACAACAGGCAAAGCCCGCGTTAAAACCTTGCGCTTTTCATTTTTATTTCTACTCTTTTCCACGGTTCTTTAATTCCATGCTTCTTTGCTCGCCTCTGCCTTCTCGTCTATGCTGTCCTTCTGCAGGTGATAACTTTAAGTTTCAAAGCGACCTACTTGAGTGGATACTTTTCTCCAGGGTCCCGCCCCAAGTGGAAAATGAGCGGCTGCATAGTGTGCTCAGTCTGATTGTGAGTCGTCACACCCGGGACCTCTTCACCTGGACAGAAATTTATACCCTGGAAAAGAAGACATATTTTTTAAGTAATTTATTGAAACTAGAAGAACATGAAAAATACTGTTTAAGGACAATTAGGTTGACCTGTAAAACCAACCTTGGATAAACAGACATAAACGAACAAATAAAAAGTTATGAGTAATAAATATCTTAGCTGTTGCTGATAGCTTTTTCAGCGACTTCATTTTAGAGAAAAGAGCACATAGCAGTCAGTGCAATGAAAAGATACCAACTAACAACAAAACAAGTCTAATCTCTAATGGATCATGCAGCTTTCAGCAGAAAACATGAGATTGGCCCTTAAGAGAAAAGTTAGGGACTTTGATTTGATTGCAAACAACACATCTGAAAGTATGAAAATTAATTATTTTTGCACAAGAAGCAGATGTTAAAAGTACTGAGTTGCAATGTTTTCAAAGCCACATCCATTATTGATCAAATAAGTACCGTATTTTCTGCCGTACACGTCCCACTGCCTTATAATAATAATAATAATAATAATAATAATAATAATAATAATACTTTATTTACTGTATAAAGCCCTTTAAAACAACAACAGCTGCCACAAAATGCTGTACATATAAAATCAAGAACATTTAAACACACAAAATAGTTGTTAAAAAATTAAGATCAATAACAAACAATAAAAACGGTGCAGAGCAAAATTCAGTGTGTGCTAAAAGCCAGGGAGTAAAAATGTGTTTTTAAAAGAGTTTTAAAACTGGACAGTGAAGGAGCTCGTCTGATGAGAAGAGGGAGATCGTTCCACAGTCTTGGAGCAGCAACAGAGAAAACTCTGTCTCCTCTGAGCCTCCGTTTGGACCTTGGCACCTCCAGGAGCAGCTGATCAGCTGATCTGAGGCACCGAGCAGGAGAGAATGGGTGAAGCAGCTCAGAGAGGTAGGATGGAGCAAGACCATTTAAACTTTTAAAAACCAATAAAAGAATCTTAAAATGAACTCTAAAATTAACAGGCAGCCAGTGGAGAGAAGCCAGAGTGGGGGTGATGTGCTCCCACTTTTGAGCAGCAGCGTTCTGGACCAACTGGAGACGTCTGAGTGAGGACTGGCTGAGGCCAAGGTAAAGAGCGTTACAGTAATCCAGCCGAGAGGTGACCAAGGCATGGATTACTGTTTCCAGCTGCATGTGTAAGGATGGGCTTTACCTTAGCCAGCTGTCTGAGGTGATAAAAACTGATCTTGACCACCGCTCCTATCTGGGAATCTAATTTAAAATCACTGTCCATTTTAAAACCCAAGTTAGAAACAGCTTTCTTTACATGTGGTGCCAGAGGGCCCAGATCAACAGGGCAAGGTTCACAAGAGCCACTAGGACCAAACACCATCACTTCTGTTTTATTTTAATTGAAATTTAAGAAGTTTAAAGACATCCAGTCTTTGATGTCTTCAAGACACAACAGAAGTGGCCTAATTGAGGGGGCATCTTTCTTTTTTAGTGGCATATAGATCTGACTATCATCAGTGTAAGAGTGAAAAAAAAGATCCCATGCTTTCTAAGGATTGATCCCAATGGAAGCGGGTAAAGGGAGAAAAGCAGGGGACCTAAAATGGAGCCGTGTGGAACCCCAAAACACAGAGAAGCAGTGGAGAATTCAGAACCAGCTATGTTGACAGACATGGTTCCGTCTACCAGATAGGACCTAAACCAGCTCAGTGCAGTACTACAGATACCCACTTGGTGCTGTAAGCATGATATTAAAATGTTGTGGTCCACGGTATCAAAGGCAGCGATTAGGTCGGGCAGGACAAGAACCACATGTTCACCAGAATTAATGGCCATAAGAATATCATAAAAAAAACTCTGACTAGAGCGGATTCTGTGCTGTGGCAAGTTTTGAAGCCAGACTGAAAACCTCCAGGATATTGTGCTCATCCAGAAAGCATTTGACCTGTGAATATATATATATATACACACACACATATATATATATATATATATATATTTATATATATATATATATAAGTACAAATATGTCTAATAAAATGGAAAAATCCATAAACACGTCGCTTCGCCTTATACATCGCATCTATTAAGAGTCGCTGCTGACAATCCAGAAATGTGGGATGAATCCGGAAATGTGGGCCGGTGTTGTGCCAAAAATCGATTGGCTGCCACATGGCGGCTGCGGGAGCGTGCACAGGAGGGCTATAACAAGAATTTAACAAGATTAACACTTAAAAACAATTGTTTGTTTGCTCAAAACTATAGAAAAGGTGTGTCTCAGTCTAACTTTTCCTTAATAAATGCACTTTGATGGTCAAATCAGCTGCATTTTCAAAAGCCGATACGCGGAAGCAGGAATGCGCAAAGGGCAACTTGCTGTGCATTTCTTCGAAATTTAGCAAGATAACTACATAAAAACAATTTGTTTGCTCGACATTATAGTAAAGGTTTATCTCTGTTGAACATTTACTTAATAAATGCACTTCAATGGTCAAATTAGCTGCATTTTGCCTGGGCAGCGCAGCGAAATGAAACTGATTTTCCTCCAGGTGAGCTGGACAAAAGTGGAAGGCTAAGGCAAGCCGATTGTGTCATTAATAGCCACTTTTACCTATTACATGACACAACAGCATGCCATATACCTCGAGCCCCCATGTAGTGGCTGAAAATGGTCGTGTTCAATATTTTCAGTCAGAATGAATGAAAACTGTCATATCTCAGTCAAAAATTGGTTTATAAATATGGGAAAAAATCCATAAATACGTCGCTTCGGCATATAAATCGCAGGGCAATAAAATTATGCAAAAAACCGCGACCTATAGGGCGAAAAATATGGTACATGAATGAAAATGAACTAAGAATAAAAAACAACCCTAAAGATCAGAGATGACTTTTGTTCTCTCCTTGTTCCTGTATTATATGTCACTTTACAAGCCTGCCACAGCTTGTGTTCTTTAAACTCACAGATTATCACTCATCCAGAAATCTGTGGAAGTTCCAGGTCACTGCCTTCACTGTGTGTTCTGGGATAAGAAAAATCTCAGTCAGGAAGAAGCAAAACTGACTCTTTTTGGTGACTAAAGTATCATAAAAGTAAAATGAAGGTCAAACACAAAGACTGAGGTTGGACCTGCAGGCAGGAGGAAAATAAAACTGTTTTACCTACCAGTGCAACACAAACTAAAATAAATTATACTAAATAATAAACCATTTTTAGCCTCCCTCTGCCTGTGAAGCTCTCTCAGTAGATCAGTTTAAGTCCAGACTGAAAACACATCTGTTCTCCCTGGCCTTCTCTCAAATTAATACTTGATTGACTCGAGTTTTGGGGAAATTGCAGCAAATATGCAATAGCTGTCTCGGTTTTTATTAGTACTATTGTTTTAATGGTATTTTACGGCAAATGTTATCATACTTTTATTTTTTAAACTATTTAATTTTGTTTATTATATTTTATCACATTTTATCTATGATGTTGACATGTTTAAATATGATCTACATGCTGTCTATTTGTGTCTACATTTATATTTCTATACATGATCTATAAATGGTCTATATTTTTTTATGTCTATATGCTGTTTATGATGACATGTCAGAGTCAGAGATCCTTTATTATCATTCGCACCACATGTGGTGGAGCGAAATTATGTACACAGGGTCCCAGTTACATCCAACAATAAAAATGTAAAAGAAAAACAATGATACCATCTAAGATATGAACTAAGAAAAACCTTAACTAAAAACATTACGTCGAACATCAGCACAAACATGAGCATGAGTCTGTGTGAGCAGATGAACACGCATGAACACAACAACATGAAACAGATCAGCAGCAACATGAAACAGATCAGCAGCAACATGAGGTGATTTTTTCACAGTGATTATTCTGCTTAGAGATTCAAGAGTCTAACAGCCTCAGGGTAGAAGCTGTTCCTCAGTCTAGTGGGTCTACACTTAATGCTCCTCAACCTCCTTCCTGAGGAGAGAGGGGCAAAAAGTGTGTGTGCTGGGTGAGTGAGGTCCTTCATGATGCAGGTGGCCCTCTTCCTGCATCTGGAGGTGTAGATGTCTGTGATGGTGGGGAGGCTGACTCCGACAGACTTCTGTGCAGCCTTCACCACTCTCTGCAAAGCTTTTCTTTCTGCAGCTGTGCAGCCTCCATGCCACATGTTGATGCTGGAGCACAGGATGCTCTCCACTGCACACCTGTAGAAGGAGGTGAGGACTGAGCTTCCCAGACCAGCTCGTCTCAGCCGCCTGAGGAAGAAGAGGCTATGTGATCTACATGTTGTCTATATTTGCATGCCTTTATATGATCTATATGCTGTCAACATCTGTTTATGTTTACATAGCTATGTATTCTATCTATGATATATATATATATATATATATATATATATATATATATAAATGATTGATATGCTGTCTATATTTGTATGTCTATATATGGTCTATAGGCTGTCTATATGTGTATATATTTCCATGTCTATGTATCATCTTTATGTTGGTTACATATCTACAGATGGTCTATGTTTTTTCTATATCTGTTTATATATGCATGTCTATACAAGGTATACGGCGGCACAGTGGTGAAGTTGGTAGAGGTACCGCCTCTCTGCGAGAAGATCACCTGATCAAATCCCGGCTGGGGGCCTTTCTAGGTGGAGTTTGCATGTTCTTTCCGTGCATGCCCGGGTTTACTCCAGGTACTCGTTTCCTCCCACAGACTAAAAACATGCATGTTAGACTGATTGGTAACTCTAAATAGTCCCTAAGTGAGTGAGCGAGTGAACAGTTGTTTTGTCTTGTTTGTCTCTGTGATGGACTGGAGACCTGTCCAGGTGTCCCCTGCCTCTCGCACAGTGACTGCTGGATATGGGCGCAGTGACCCCCGTGACCCGAAAAGGAAGAAGTGGGTATAAGATAATGGATGGATATAAGGTATATGTGTTGTTTACATGTTTACATATGATCTATATGCAACATTTCCCTACAGTACATTGCATTATTCAAGGAGCTACAAAGAAAAGAGGACTTTTCGTACTTCTTCATCTAGTTTCCGTGACTGACTCTTCTCAGGAGGCTGGCTGTAATCGCAGCCTGATTGAGTCACACTCTCTCCTTCAGGACCCCCCAGAGAGAGCCCCCCCTCCCCCGACCCCTGGCGCTTGAACACACGCACACAAACACACTTTCTGACGAGCAACGCTAATATTGAAAAGGCATTCATCTGTAAGGTACTGTAGCTCTCCCCCCCTCTGGGATCATCCAATGGAGCACCTCAGGATACATATAGAGGAACGAAAGAGAGCAAAAGTGAGGATTGATACCCCCCCTCCTGCACACCCATCCAGACATGTCTTGTATCTTTTGAAGCCAATAGCTTAGAAATGCAAAAAAAGAAGGGGAAAAAAAAAATCTCATCCCAGAGGAGAAGCATGAAAAGACAGCTCTGTGTATCTCCTGGACTCTGTCTCTTGTGCTGAAGATATTACAGCGAGAGCTCCATATCTCACATGACTTTAACATTACAGATACAGAAAGGCTGCTTTGAAACTGAGGCGCAGCAGTCGGGTCGAGATAAGATGCAGAACCTTCTATAGCGATGAAAGGAATTTTGGAGGAGAATATACTTGGCATCTAGCTTTGAAGGAATCCATAGCGTTTTAGACTAAGATCATCTTATGCTAAGAAATGACAGAAACATTGAATATAGCATTATGCAACATCTTATGCAACACGGCATACCAACAGAAATAAATCAGCTTAAACAAGTGAAATTGTTCCACTTTTCACAAAAAAAGTCAACAGAATATATAAGTAGCAAAACTTTTCCATTTCTTCCCTCCATCTCAGTTCATCCCTTCAGATTTATCTTGGATGAATATTTATTAAATATCAAGTGGGCAACAGACAGAGATTTTAAAGATTCAACCATAAAAAAAACCAACAACAAAGAAGCCTGGAGATATAAGTTTCCTTGGAAGAAATCAAGCAATCGCTCAATGAAACCCACACATACACCCACTCCTCTGTGTTGAGACCAAAACGTCTTTGTGCATTCTTTCTCTTCTGCATTTTTCTCTTTCTCCCATGTTCACACACACAGCAATCAATAGGCAACTCACAGGCAATCAGACGCCATTATTTGTGAAGTTCCACTTCAGTTCACATGAGTTGATAAAGGAGGCTACTATTGATTCAGCAGCCCTGAAGGAGAGAGCAATTTAAACGACCGATGGGGCATAAAACAAACTGGATGACAGAAAAAAGCATAACCATGGAGGGAGGACAGGGTAGGAGGACATGTTCTTATGGACAGAAAAAAAAAAAAAAAACATTCTCTTGATGCTCAAATGTCAGGTTTCACGTTTATTTGTATATTTTTAGGGCCCGTCCACTCGGGAATAGTATTTGTGAATACTTAAAAACTTTTTCAATCTCATGTCCACACGGAAACAGCATTTTAAGAGAGACTGTACGATAATGTAGGATCGCGCCTCTGCTTTTTGCAGATGATGTGGTCCTATTGGCTTCATCAGGTCGTGATCTACAGCTTTCGCTGGAGCAGTTCACAGCTGAATGTGACGCGGCTGGGATGAGGATCAGTTCCACCAAATCTGAGGCTCATGGTCTTGAGCCGGAAAAGTGTAGAGTGCCCTCTCGGGCTGGGGAGGAGGTCCTGCCCCAAGTAGAGGAATTTAAGTATCTTGGGGTCTTATTCACAAATGAGGGGGAGTGAGAGATCGATAGGCGGATAGGTGCGGCGTTGGCAATGAAGCTGGCGCTGTACCAGTCTGTCATGGTGAAGAGATAGCCGAGTCAAAAGGCAAAGCTCTTAATTTACCGGTCCATCTATGTTCCTAGCCTCATCTATGGTCATGAGCTTTGGCTTGTGACCGAAAGAACGAGATCTCGGATACAAGAGGCCAAAATGAGTTTTCTCCGCAGGGTGTCTGGGCTCTCCCCTTAGAGATTGGGTGAGAAGCTCGGTCATCCAGGAGGGACTCAGAGTAGAGCCGCTGCTTCTCCGTGTCAAGAGGAGCCAGTTGAGGTGGCTCGGGCATCTGGTTAGGATGCCTCCTGGACGCCACCCTGGTGAGGTGTTCCAGACACGTCCCACTGGGAGGAGACCCAGAGGAAGACCCAGG